GGACGTGTGTGCGGTGCTGCCATGCGAGTCTCTCTTCATAGAAAGGGATTTCTAGTCTGAAAAAACAAGTAATAAACACGTGAATTTTCTTACCAATAAGGATCTAAATGGAAACCCTGAGCTGATGGGGATGGCCAGAGGAGAAATTCCCCTTTCCCTCTGCTTCCTTGCGGGACACGGATGAGGAATAACTGGCTTGGATAAGGAATAACTTGCTTAAATGAAAGAGGATTGTCCTCTTTCTTTAACACGATCGTACTGCAAATCTGCTTTTCACCTGATGCTTTTCCGTGCAGGCTTCCTAGGAGCATCTGGCTTCTTCTTGGAGCTAATCCTCCCCTTCACAAATGCTTTCTTGGGGCAAAAGGCTATCGTTCTCATTTCTGTGGGCTGCTGCCTGCAGCTTTTCTCTGGAAAACTTTTCTTTCTCTTCAGACCTTATTACCTTTATTCCATAGTCTTCCACCACATCACTTCACCTGCTTTCTCCCTTTTGCTGCTTGCCTGTGCCTCGTAGAGATGGGGGGTTGTGGTTTGTGGGAGAGGACCAGGTGAGGGGTAAGTTGCTTTGTCAGGTGAGTTACGTGGTGACAGCTGCCAAGTAAAGGAGTATGGCATGGGAATGGGGACAGCAAACTGGGTCAGGGAGCCAGGAAACTACTCAGAGCATTGCCGTGCCCCTCAGCATTGCCTGACCCTCTCCTGCATCAGTGAGTTTGTCCTTAATCCACAGACGTGAAGTCGCTTCAGGCTCAGGTCCACAGTCACTGTGGAAATGCATACCTCACCTTCCCCGGCATCTCTTCCATCCCACTTCTTAAAACCGAAGAGCTCCTCTTGAAATTCTTTTAATGACTTTTTTGAGGTCATGGGTTTAAACACAAAAGGATAAAGGTTAGATTTTTTAGCATGACATTCACTTCTCTGCAAAGCATGTGCTGTGTATTTTCTAGACCCTTAGACAGTATTTTTAATACAGTCAGAGTTGTAATTTTTTTGGTTCCTGGTTCATGTATCTTATAAAAATCCAAATGTAGCATTCCAGGGAGTGTGTACTTTTGTGTTAATATTTGACATCTGCAGGGAGACAAACTTACCAAGAATTTATTACCAGAGAGAAAGAATTATTTTTCTTGAATACCTATGCAGATACCGATTTATTTTTCTCTTTTCAGACCATGGTTTGGCAATGAGGTGGAGTGAAAAACACGGGTACTAGTGAGTTGCATATCCTGATGTGCAGCAACAGGCTACATGAGAAAGAGAGGTCAGTGAGAAGCAGCAGCTCAGGTCACCACAGTGTTACCCACCTAGTGCAGTGCCCATACTTGAGGACGGTGACAGCAGAGGGTTCAGAGACCCCTGTGAAAGCTGAGGCAGGAAGAGTGGCAAACAGGAAGAATCTGTTTTCCAGTTGCTTAGCTCCCCCCTAAGCTTTTGCTTACATCTGTCTTTACATTTTTTGAGAAACAGAACCGAAGCCACAATAGAGGCTGTGTAAAGGGAAGATGGTTTGCAAAGGGTCTGCAGGGTTTCTGTAGAGAAACTTTCTCCACCTCTACCTAACGTTTGCAAGAAAAAGCTCTGCATCAATCCTGCTCTGGATTAGAGGGGCAAGAAGCAACTGGGTCTCCTGACCTGCATCTGTAGGAGCTTGCCATTAATTCTCGCTGGGTTTTTGTCCCTCTTTAACCCAAACAGAATGGGCAGGAGAAACAAGACTGTGACTTTGTGGCAGAGGTGGCCACCCAGTATGGCTGTTTCTCTGAACTTAGCTTCAGCTGGGTTGTCAATTCTCTTCCATTCAAGAATGCAAACATGGCCTCACGCAAGGAACTTGGGCTCCCCAACGTTCAGCCTGAGGCTCACAAACAATGCAACCTCAGGTGGGAACTCACAAAGGAAAGCAGGAAATAAAGGTGTCTCCAGTTTCCCTCCAGGAGAGCTTATGCTGTATCACCTGGTTTCACAATGGGCCAACACCAAGTTTGAGCATGAAGCAGGAGAAGATGAATCTTATTTTTGCACACACATACCCACTCAGTGTGTATTTATATTTATGTGCATATATAAAATATATTTATATTTTATATGTGCATATATAAATATATGTATGTATATATATGTTGCCCGATCTGATGGGGCAGAAGCAATGTGAAATACCTCATTTTCAGGAGGACCAGGAACTTGAGGAGTATGCCATGTTGGTTGCCTGGGAAGAGAGGGGAAGAGCAGGAAGAATCTCCTTTCCCTTGCCTGGGATTTTGTTTTTATTCACATGTACGATTTGTACTAGAAGCTGGTTTGGTAAAGCAGCATTGCTGAAACCTTTTATAGAGGCAGGTATTTGGATTATGCTCACAGTTTGGGTTTATCCATGTGCAGAGGAGACATAGATTCATGTGATAGCTGTGATTTCTCTCTGGGAAAAAAAAAGAATTGCTGTGTCCAAAGGGGGTGAAAGCTTCCCTTGTGTTTATTATTGCTTCTAGGATTTTGTAGTTTCGAATGTGTCAGGATAAGTGCTGTATTTGGGAAAAGCAAAGGGAGGATTGGGAATATAATTACAGCCAAAAGCTCCTTCTGGGCACAGGTTGCTTGCGCGTGTCATTCTTGAACTGTGTGATCTTTTCTCAGGAGGAAGAGACCCAAAAGGGTCATGGGGTATTTCGAGGGGGAGAGAGGAAATGAGAAACACTTTCCCTCTTTTGGAGAAAGGTAAAAGCAGGATATACCAGAATCCTGTCAAATCCTATTTATTGGCACTGAGCCTTTTCAAAGCTGGGAACAAATCTGCACCAAAAATCCCAACATTAGTACATGCAGGAAGAAAACTGCTGAGGAGAGGAGGGGAAGAAACAGGGCAGATTTAGCTCCTAGGACTGACTGACACTAGCCAGATTTGGGACCTAGGTCCCAAACTGAGGTATTTACATAGGAAATAAATCTGGCTGTGCACATCTTGTGCATCATAAATTACGGCTTCTGACACTGAAGAACTATGAAAATCCAGACCCAGTTAGTGATTTCTAGGTAAGCCTGTTCAGTTTTGAGCCCTCATAGGGCTGCAGCAGAGAGCAAATGTGACTGCTCTTCACGAAAGCCGTTCATCACATATCCCGTGCCTGACAGCCTCCAAAAACAGCAGTCACCCTGAATTGTGCTTCCAAACCTACCTGTAGCTGAGGAGGTTTTTGCCCTCCAGACAGGAAAATGTCAACAGGAAAAAAGCAGTCTGTCCTAAAAAATGCAGTTCAGTAACGCCTAAAAATGCATATTTTGGCCTGGCAGATCCTGTCAACTTTTATCTGTAGTGTGTCTGCCCCCCCCCCAGGTAAGGAGGAAGATAAAACAGCTTCTAGAGTCTCGATCAAGCAGTACCGTAAAAACACATATCTGGCACTTGAACTCAGTAGTTTCTCCTGAAAACTCCACGTACCCAACCATAGGTGGAACAGTACCTGTTTCTCTTCTGGATCCTGCCCTTTTCACCTTGCTATGGTGTGCGCTCAAAAGTAGACAGTACCAGTTCCTCTTCCTCGATCCAGCACTTCCCACCTGAGTGACAGACCAATTGAAAAAAACTAAATCCTTATGTTTGTAAAATCTAATTTCTTTTTGTCATGTGCATCTCAAGACTTTTTCGATAAAAATGATACTTTGTTTGGTTGAAGTTGAAGGCAATCTCATTTTATTCAGGACCAGGATTTCACACACATACGTAGTTAACAAAATACTAATTTTTCACTAATCCATCTTTGGAAGTCTGAAAGAGCCAGATGCTGTACTGCTGCTTTTGCGCTGAGATGCCAGTTTGCAAGGTGAGAGATCTGAAGCAAGAAGGAATACCTATAATGTTGTCTAGCTTGATGTTTCATTTCAGGACCTAAAATGGAGGTAAATGAAGGAACAAACATACGGTTTCTTGTCAAGGTTTGTTGTGGTAGTGGTATTGGGATGTACGTTGTCATGTTCGGATTAAACATTATTGTGAGCTATTGGGACAGCTTCATTTTCTCATTCAGCTGATACAGTTTGAAATGTTGAAAGGAAAAAACCGCCTATGTGCTGCTGTGACAACTTGTGGAAAGGGACACTTTATTAGTAAGTCGACGCATGGTGTTTGTGCATATGCGTGCATTTTACATAGGTGTAGATATGTGTGCCCATCTGCCTGTGGGCAGCATGCCCTCTCGGCAGACTCTCGCTGCTTTCCCGCCCGGGTGGCACTGGCACGCTCCCGGCTCTTCTCCCTGAGGTCAGTCAGGATGGCAGCCATCACCTGTGGCAGCCTGGGATTTCAGACCCAGGAGTGCCGAACCTTGCTCTGGTAGCAGCCAGGCTCT